TCATAAAAAGACCAAATTTATGAATAATAGGTGTCTTATTTACAGACGAGGAAAATTTATGTGACTTAGAGAGATTGGAAGCACCTCCGCTAGTGGGTGAGGAGTTCACTGACTCACACTTGGGGCTGCTGACTTTGGACATGCCCAGATTGACCAGCTCACCTGGCCTGGGGCCAAGGCATTTTCCAGACACAGGCTCTGGGAACTAAAATGAGGGAAGGCCTGTCAAACCAGGAAAGGTTTGTCACCTCACAAAGCTGGGCCCTGCTGGGGCTACCAATGACTTGAACTATGGTATGTGTCACCCTAGGCAGCCCATTACTAATGACTGCCCGGAGCTGCTGTGTACCTATAGGTTACACTGATCAGAGGCTCCTCGTTCTCTTAAGTTCTGCAGTTTTGTTTATTTTATTTTATTTTATTTTATTTTATTTTATCTTATTTTATTTTATTTTAGTGTGTGTGTGTGTGTGTGTGTGTGTGTGTGTGTGTGTATGTGTGCGTGTGTGAAGACTCACATCCTGTGCAGCGCCTCATATGGAAACAAACCTGTTGCTCTGCACAGTTTCCAGTGCAAAGTGTTAACCATCCCCCCAGCAACCATGACTCAGGCTCATTGTAAGCTGGCTGCACCTGAGTCCAGACTATACAAGAGCATTGCAATGTGTCATAAAGTTCCTGAAAGCTTGTGCACGCACAGATTTCCCAGACACCACAGGTAATCTCTTAATAGACTGATGGAGACTCACCCCAATCATTTCTTTTACATCCCAAAGAGCAACATTAGGCATTTTATGCATAACGGGATTGTTTGGGGTGAGCAGTATTACCTGCTTGGAAAACCAGCTCTCTCCTCCCACAGACCCTGAAAAATGCTGGAAATTCAGGGGTAAAGAACTCCAGACGGGAAGAGATTGAGGCCCCGTAGACAAAGTTCAGAGAAATGATTAGAAGTAAACAAGAAGTTGACCCTCCAGAAACAGTTTTTCTGGGGTCAGAAGTATTGACTTCAAAAGCAGTTCAGGAGCAGGGGGAACAGTGGCTCACCTGTGACACCAGCACTTAGAGGGAGGTGGGGCTGGAGAGTCTAAATTTGTACTTGGGCTACTTGTCGAGATCTTGTCTCAAAACAAAAACAACAAGCAAACAAACAACAACAAAATAACTCATCCAATCCTCCCAAACCAAAAACAAAGCCTGCTGTGGATATTGCTCTATATAAATAAAACACTGATGGCCAGTGACCAGACAGGAAGTATAGGCGGGACAAGGAGAGAAGAGAATTGGGGAAATAGGAAGAAGGAGGGGGAGACACTACAGCCACCGCCAGGACAAGCAACATG